TGCTGGAGATACACACATATGCTTGTCTAAATGAAATTTGTGTTATTCACTGTTGTGTTGTGAAGCTTTAAGGATTGTTTCTGGTGTCATCTAAATTAAAAAGAAAAAATAATTCCACTGATAGGAGTTTGAGACACTGTGCTGAAGATAGTGAGCACAGCAGTATTCTTGAAGGTCTAACCACAGCTTGGTGAGATAGGCCAGTGAATAGTTTTCCATTTCTCTGTCCAACCCTTTTCCTCATGAATGTATTTTCTTTTTGGAACTGGTTATGAAAGTCTTCAGGTTTTTAGTTACCTTTACTAGTGTGTCAAGCTGCTCCTCTAGACTGAATGAAAATCCAGCCTCTCTAATTAAGGATTTCTCTCAGCTCCCCAAAACCACTAACAGTGCAAACAGACCAGCAGTATCCACAAGAAATGCAGTCATTTTGGCTGCTATAATTGCACCCTGCAAGTGCTTTGTAACAAACACAGCTGGTTATATACAGTGCTGATATTTCATAATTTATCATCTTGATTTTAATTAGAACTGTTTGCAGTGTTGTTAAATCATAAGACAAAAGAACCTCAAGGCTGCAGTATTGGATTTTTAAGAGTTAGTCACACTGCAGTTTGTAGAGGGACTGAGGGGTCTCTGGAGGTGCAGCCCAGGCTTGGGCTCTCTGCCTGCTCCTTGGTGGCATCAGGGACTGTTCTTAGCAGCCTCTCAAGTTTGATGCATGAATTTAATTGGTATGAATTTGTCCCACTCCACATTCGCCTGTTACTGTGTAGAGACTCTTAATCTTGACATGTTTTTCTCCACCTTTCACTTGACACACAGATGTTTGTAGTCCATAGTGTAAAAATTGTGCTGCTAATGACCTTCAGAAGTCATTAGCAGTGTGTGCTTGGGATCTTTCTGGGTGACCAACATAGTTTCACGATGACTTCCAGTTACATTTTTCTGTCTGAATATATTCAGTTGTTTTAGCTGAAATGAACAGGAGAGGGTAAGACTTAGGAAACAGTCTGAGCAGGAGCCTGTTTGATGACTTAGGGGTGTGTACAGCAGTCAAATCTCACAGCTGCTGGAAGCTTTGTAACTCTGACTGCTGTT